TGTCATGTGGGAGTTCAGCTACAGCTGCTGAGCAGCCTCTCCATGGAGCGCCTGCCTGCAGCTTCTTACAGGTACTTAGAGGAAGCATCCTATGTGCAAGCACACCAAGCAATTCAGGGGAAACCACAAACCTCCAGGGACCTAGTTTGAAAACCCCAGGACATCACTTTGCCTCATTCTGTAGGAAAAGGTAAGTCACTAAATTCAGGCAAGACTTAAGAAAAGGAAAACTAGACTCCAGCTGTTGATCTGGGAAGCCATAGTGTGTGTGTGTGTGTATATATATATATATATATATATATATATATATATATATATATATATATACACACACACATACACATATATATATATATATATATATGTATGTGTGTGTGTGTGTGTACATGTGTATACACACACACACACACACACACACATATACGAAGGGAAGGAATTGATGGTAATAAGCTTTGACTATCACAACTTTTCAGGGGTTCCTCTCTTCAAAGATATTAACATGTCTCAAAGCACTTCTCCCTTCTGGAATAAAGAGGTCCTACCATTGCAACCCTTTCCAGATTTATCTGTTTTTGAGGCAGAGGAAATGTAGCAAAGCCCATTAATGGGACTTACCTCATTTCAAGTATAAACATTGACAATAATTTTATGCTCTGCCTTAAATGTGGCAAATATGGTAAAGACTTAATAAACTATGAAGTACAAAGAAAATATAGTTATCCTCGCTTTAGCTAGAGTAACAGATTAAACAAATTATATAAGGAATCATTTCTTATTTCATTTACATCCCCATGGAACAAATATTAATAATCCTATTTTGCAGATGAGGCTCAAAAGGTTATGTGTTGTTGTTGTTTTTGTTTTTGTTTTGTTTTTGTTTTTTTTGCCTTAAATTATACAATTAATGAGTAGTATAACTGAGATTCTGGCCTAGGATTTTCTTTTCTTTTTTTACTACACATGCTGCTTCAATGAATAGTTAATAAACACTGTGAAAACTTGTGGAGAAACTGGAGGTGGAGAAACAGAGATGGGGCAGAAAGAGAAGGAGAGGAGCCAGGGATTATTGTACTGAGAAACTTTTGTTTTATGCTTAGTTATTTCAACAAATATTTTTCGTACCCTATATAGCTAGAGTGACAGTCTTATAGCAACCACAGTCTGGGAAAAAATTAAAAAACAAAACAAAATTGTAGATGTGGGGAGCAGAGGAAGAGAGAATAATGTGCTGAAGGTCACGGAACCAGCAGCCGGAGGAGGTGCACCGTGGCTGGAGATGGGGTGTGGGAAATACACTGACAAGGGATGAACAATGAGATACATGGAGAGATGGGAGAGGTGACCCTTCCCTCCCTCGGTGCTCCCAGCCCTTCTGCTGAATAGCCTTTTGGGTTTGTATAGAGCTTGAGGAAGACTGAAAGAAAAGATGAGAACATCCATGCTACTGGCTGCATGGCACTCTCTGATTTTTCCCCCTCTTTCTACTGTTTGAAAACAAAACAAAATAAAACAGCATGCCTATAGCAAAATGAATCAATTTTAAATTTCAATAACAGCAAAGAAATATAATGTAACAAATGAAACATACCACTTCTTAATTATATACTATTACATTTCTATTGCAGAGTTGTTTGTAGTTAAATCTTTAAAAACAGAGAGGAAATAGTATGAGCACAGCTACTTTATTTGATTCACTTCATTTCTCTAAATAGTATATAATTATTTTTAAATGGAGTTTATATTTTTCTTAAGAAAACACACTTTGACAAATGAAACTACAAAAAAGAAAAATATAATAAAAATGTTAAATACCACCTATTGTGCTATTATTCTTTATAAGTTATTTATATGTTACTAGTTGGAAGACTTATATAGGCAAAATACTGTTCATAGAGCTTAAAATCTCAATAAAACCTGCTTTCAAAAATTGCAGGCCCAAATAAGGAACTTTTCAGTTATATATATATTTGAATAAGTTGATTCATGTCATTTAGGGGTTAAGTGGTCTCAAATTATTTTTGATAATTGATGTACATTTGAATCCATGAGCAAAAATGCATACTGTAAAAGGATATCAAGTTTAATGTTATTCTTTTTCTGTTCCTAATTCTTATCTATGCATTCATCTATAATAACCATCTCAGCCTATTATGAATAATAATTTCTAACTATTTTATGATCCATGTTTTTTGCCACAAAAGTCACAAAAGTAATTAAGCCAAATTGAAACAATTAGGAAATACACTATTCAATAACAGAGTTGCCAAAAAGTTTTACTGTACCCTAAGGAGGCAAGAGAAAAATAAAAGCCTATACAGCAGTAATATCATTCCACATGTTACGTGTTTTTTTTTTTCTTGCAAGCCAGCCAAGCTCAAATTAATTGTACTGACTAAACTTTTCTTCTTAGAGAAAATTAAAGATATGCTGTTGTCAACACTTGAGCACAACCTTGCCGACACTTAAACGCAGAGAAGGGTGTGACATCCTGCCCGGGCTGCCTTGTGCTAATTAATCACTCTGGTATTTAGGACCATTCAAGCAGACAAATTAATGGGGAATAATTAGTGTATCTTTGTTCCAGCTCAGCTTTGCACACCAGACACTCTCTGGGAGAGAGGGGAGTTTGCGGAGCGCGAGCCATTAGCACGTGCATAGTTTCACTTCTGTTCAGCAAGTTCTTCGGAGACTAAGAGAAAGGCCAAATTAGCAGACCTGTGACTGAGGTTAGGCCTCTGTTTGGGTATCAGCTTTCAGAGGCAAGTAGCTAATCCACATACCGAATTTCATGAAACGCAATTAAACCTCCGGGAAAAAATAATTTCAGAAACGATAAGGAAGTCTTTTTAAACAGTATAGTGAATATATTTATTTTTATTTCTATCATTCATATTTATTTATATATCACAGAGATAAATCCAAACCTGGGGTATTTCCCATTTTGCCTTATTGTCGGCTTTTGTGCATTTTTATCAAAAATGGATTTTTATCAACAAATAGTATTTATACATTTTGTAAGTAAATAGTGTAGACCATTTAACCTCTGTGCTGTTGGTAAGAACTCTCTGCAGATACTCCCTACGGCCATAAAACTTAATTTGTTTCTTCTGATAGGAATCATAGACTAGAAAATTCAGGCAAAGTCTACAGACACAGTGAGTGTGACCAGCACGGTATTGATTAAACTCTGTCCCATTTTACACTGTTGACTGGTTTCAACATGCACGTGGACTGAATAAAGGCACAGTTTCCTGCCAAAATATTTTAAAAACTAAAAATTAAATAGTTATGGCTACCAGACTGAAATGATTTTATGATTTGGTCCCCAGTACTAAAAATAAAACAGAGAAAAAGCCAACTTATTCATAAGAGTTCAAATTCTCCTTGATGAAATTTACCAGTTTTACTTTAATACAGAGATTCCTCCGCTCACCAGACAAGAACAGCCAATTTTCCACAATTAATACTTCAAACATCAGATTTTTTTTTTCTGATGATGAATTATTTCTGAGCTTTTTATTGAGGAACAGTTGGCTATATGAAGAACTTACCTAAACATACTGCCAAATAATTGTGCAAATATGTGTATATCCATTCATAGAACCACGCTTATTTTAATACCATACATGTGAGTAACCTTTAATTACCGTTTTTCATTTTTCTTTGGTTATGGAAGGGAGGAGATTGACAACCTAAAGGATGTGTGTGTGGTTTTTTTTTTTGTTGTTGTTGTTTTTGTGCTCAGTGACTATCTTGTGTATCACTACCTAACTCTGCAGCTTTGACCCTTAGCAACCAAGGCAAGAATGATTGCTGTGGCAGCACAGAGCACATTCCTGCAAACTCCATACTCACTGTCAGAGGGTTCACACCCAGACCACCTCACTCTCAGAGAGCAAGCAAGGGTGGCTCAGGGAGGACCAGGAGCTGGTGCAAAGGGAGACCCTACAGTGAGAAAAGAGATCCCATTCCAGACCTGGTTATCAATCCTTCTGTAAAGAAATGCTACCATCCAAAAAGACAGAGATGAAAATAAGCGTGGGGCATCCGTGGCTGGGTTTCGTTCTGCAGATATAATGGTGTAACAGAGAAATGTCCTAATTTGGAATATTGTTGGACGACACCCAGCATCTAGATTTCATGAAAACATGGTATTGTTAGGCATAATGCTCTCGAAATTGTGCTGGTGGAGAGGAAGAGAGGAGGGGAAAAAAGCCAATCACAAAACCACACATTCTTACAATGTCTTCTAGCAGAGAAATGAAATCTCTCTGTGTCTAGTTCCCTCTGAGATACTAAATTACTGCCTCGGATAAGCCCAGATGCCATTAGAAAGGCTTCCATCCTGGGAGTAGGTCCTCCTAGATCTTTGAAGGTGCCTAATCCTCATTAAAGGAAAACCCCGCGCGTGGGAGGGGCCGCGCGGGCATCAAGGCACCTGGCGCGGACTGAAAGCGCGGCCCCATGTGCGGCTGCCGCTGAGCAGCAGAATGTAATTTAGTCGCACCAGCGGGAGCAGGGGTCAATGATTTTATATTAATGGGGATCACGACAGTTCTAAGCTGTGGCGTGCTTTGAAATAAGTGTTGTACAAGGCAGCAAAGAGAGCTAGGCTGAGGAAATGAGCTGTGTCACTGTCTCCTCATGTCTAGCAGCAAACACTGGGAGGTTTTTTAGCTGCTACCGACTCTGTGCCATCATAATATTTTATAAACAACAATTACCTCTTTCATTTAAAACACACACACACACACACAAAAAAAAAAAAAAAAAAACAAAAAAAAAAAAAACCAACCCTCAAACCCCTAAAGCAGAGCTACCAAAAGATGCCACGAAAGAAGAGAAAACTCCTTTCTGCCCCAGATAGAGACCACGTGTGTGGCCAGTGAATGGACTATTCAGGGGATGCTCAGAGATGAAAACAAACTTATGCAAATAAGCCCAGGCCTGTTAGGGTTGGTGGTTGTGATACTGTTGAAAGAGGGTATATTGTTACATACCTTGATATGCTCTCAGAATGCCGGCACCTAAAACAAGAGAGATGGAGAAAGATTTAGAGGCAGTGCTTTTAAGTAGTGTTCAGTATTCAATTTTTGTCTGCAGTGAAAAGGCAGGATTACCACAATATCCAAATTTTCCCTAAATTATAAAATTATTTTTACTTTTTTTTTTAGGAATAAAAAGTTTAGACTTCATTGATTAGGGGGAACTACCACATATCATTAAGTGGATAACAGCTACCCGCCTGAGAGTTACAAAGTCAGCTGTGAAAAGGTGGACATGTTGATGAGAAAAATAAAATCTATCCTTATAAATTGCCACCTGGGAAAACAATCGACTAATTTTCAATATTTTTCCCATACGCTAGCAAGTCTTTGGGATTAGTGAGCTATTACTGGAGAACAAAGTGGTATCATTGAATATTAAATTACACATCATCTGGAAAACAATTTCTATAAAACAAAATCCAAGCTTGATTAGTCTATTAGAGATGCATTTTCCAAAGATGATCTGTGAGACAATAGTGCTGTGACAGATGTTCTGTGCTAAGCTCACACACATCCAAACATATACAGAAGATTCTTCAGTCAGACATAGGAAAGAAATACTGCATTCTATAAGGTGTGGTTTTTGTTTTTTTTTGTTTTTAATTTCCCAAGAACATTAACATATTAAAGGCTCTGAGATGTCCTGACATAAAGACTCTCTTTAGTCTCCTTCAGATCTTATCTATCCAACCAATTTCATTATTAATTACATTGCCCCCAGAACCTATTCACATCCCTTTCTCTAAAACACACTTTGGAAAGTGCTGTAGCCAAGTTCACTGAGCTGATGAAGATGCATCTTCCTGAAGAAGTGGGACTAGCAGATGTAATCTCCCAAACTTACTCCCTTGCATACAGACGCTGGTTAATAGATAACTTGGGTTGTAAATTATAATTTAACCAAAGTTCCAAACTTTCAGAAAATGTGCAATAATTTACATAGTATTTATAAATTCATATACCAAAGTAGTGAAGAGACACTATCATTCCCAGGAATAAAAGAGCAGAGGATCAGGAGGAACAGGGGTCACCGAGGGTTGGGTTTTGATGCTGGGACTTGACTAATTCATGCTGCTTTTAAATAATTTAGAATATAGAATAATTTGGATATTCCCAGACAGGACATATACGTAGTTTTGTTGCAATAATTCAAGCTGGGTCTAAGTGAGCCAAATGAGGCACCCTTTCAACAACAAAATATAAGGGGCAGCAAAAAACTCAGTAATCAAAATACATAACAGTTTAATCAATATTTTTAAATGATGCAAATAAATCCATGAAAAACAAAGTATGAACATTTTAAATAAAGACAGATTAGTGTTACAGATTTCTCCTTCTGCCTGGGGCTCCAAGATGGCTTAGGACAGTACTGGTGATAAGAAAAGACCAGGAGACAACAGGCACAAACAAGCACTTAGTTGGGAGTCCAAATTAGTTCTGATCCTTCCTGCTAAATAAATAGCCATATAATTAAAAAAAAACATACCAATATACCATGTCTCTGTATATTCTTCTATAGAAAAAAATGGCATTTCCCAAAGTGTTCTGAAAAGCATTTGTTTAATGATATGTTAAAGGTATTCTGAAAAAACAAAATATGTGTAGTAATTTTGATATCAAATATGTTTGGGAAAAACTAGTCAGATTTCTTTTTTTTAGAATTCTTTATTGTGTAAAGTATTACATATGTTTCCTTTTTTTCCCATGGACCTCTCTCTAGCCATTCTCCTCCCACCCCTGCCAGTACATGCCCTCACCCCACTACCATCTGTGTCCATTGGTCATGCTGATATGCATGCAAATAAGTCCAGTCTGTTTGATGCTTCTATGTCTCTGGCTCTATTTTTTTTTTTCATCAATTTATGTTGTTCATTATATTCCACAAATGAGTGACATCATGTGATATTTATCTTTCTTCCATTTGGCTTATTTTGCTTAGCATAGTGCTCTCTAGGTCCATCCATGCTATTTTGAATAGTAAGAGTTCTTCCTTTTTTACAGCAGTGTAGTATTCCATTGTGTAGATATACCACTGTTTTTTAATCACTCATCTGCTGATGGGAACTTATGCTGCTGCCAAATCTTAGCTATTGTAAATTGTGCTGCTATGAACATAGGGGTGCATATATCGTTTCTGATTGGTGTTTCTGATTTCTTAGGATATATTCCTAGAAATAGGATTACTGGGTCAAATGGAAGTTCCATTCTTAATTTTTTGAGGAAACTCCAACTATTTTCCTCAGTGCCTGCACCAGTCTGCAATCCCACCAGCAGTGCAGGAGGGTTCCTTTTTCTCAACATTCTTGCCAGCACTTGTCCTTTGCTCATTTATTGATGATAGCCATTCTGACAGGTGTGAGATGGTACATCATTATTGTTTTTATTTGCATCTTTCAGATGATTAGTGACTTTGAGCATGTTTTCATGTCTCTTGGCCTTCTGTATGGTCAGATTTCTTTCTTACAAGACTTCCCAGAATTTTAACATGCTGATATATTTCATGGCTGTCTTAGAAGAAAACAGACTACAACCAATAGAATATTTATTATCATCTCGCACAGAGTATGCAAAATGCTGAGCCAAATGATCTAAGTTTCCTCCTCTTTATAAAACTTTAAAATTCTAAAGAGGCTTTTTTAGAAGTAATATGCATAGAAAAAATAGTAATGTGGTACAAATTAAAATTTTATAGAAAAAATAAGTTTAACTGTGCTTAGAGAAATCTATATTTCTGGAAACATTTATGGTATAACTGACTTCATATTGAAGTTCCCTAAACACATCAGATCTACAAGTTGACTTCAAAATTAATGTTAGATTAGGGCTCAAGTTCTGGTATTAAAACTTCACAAACATGTGAAAGATGGAAAATTAGCAGAGTAGAAAACGAGCCACCGTAAGGAAATAATAGTAGATGTGAAAGGTTATTTTATGGGAACACATAATTTTGAAGATGCTTCAGTATATGACTAAGAAATTTGAGAATCAAAAAAAAAGATTATCAATCATTAGGCACACATGTACACAGATATATATATATATATATATATATATGAACAGATGAATATTGAAGCTTAACAAAGATACTTTTAAGGTGTCTAATGAATTCATATTCAGGTAATAAAATGATGTCACCCTCAAAAAATAATATTAATGGCTTCCAAAATGCTTGATACAATAATGCAAAACAGATAAATGATAGATAATAATACATTTAACAGTAGATATTTTTGGAGGTGCACAACTATCAATAAATATTGTACACAGTGTCTACTGGATGCTTTATCAAAGAAATTACTGAATTGGAATTTTCAGAAATCTCAACATAGATATTATTTTTGTATCTTTAGTTTCCAATTATTTTCTTCTAATATCCCATGTCAATTTTGTCAATCAGGAAATACCATGTATAATGTTTTAGCTCACACTGTTAAACTCCATTTTCTTTTTTTCAATACATTTTATTGATTTTTTTTTTTTTTTTTTTTTTTTTTTTTTTTTACAGAAAGGAAGGAAAGGGATAGAGAACTAGAAACATCAATGAAAGAGAAACATCAATCTTGGGAATGTGCAGGCAGCCAAGGTATATGCCCTTGACTGGAATCAAACCTGGGACCTTTTAGTCTGTAGGCCAATGATCTATCCACTGAGCCTAACCAGTTAGGTCTTAAATTCCATTTTCAATAACCTTTGACCTCAGAAGTCCTATAATCTACTGATTCTACCAGATTTTCATGGTTTTATCATCCTTATGTCCCCATTTTCCCACTTACACATCTAACTTCCTCAGTCAGCTATTTTATTTATTATTTCACAATCACTTCCAACTTGTGCTCCTCTTTTAATTCATCATACCAGATGCCTAAACAACCTGATTAAATTCAAGTCAGCCTATTCTGACATGTACATCTGCACTGAGTGAAGTTGGACACACACACAAACACACATACACACTCTCCTTTCTGAACTCCCTTTACATTTATTATTACAAAGCTCAATTGTGCTCTGTGTGCCTGATGGTACTATATTATCATTTACTCTTTCCATCATGCAGAATGGTGACTTAATCATTATACCTCCTTCTACAATTCTTCGGTATTAACTAGTCCCCCACCCCCCACCATGTTCACTCAACAATGACTTAATTTTTTTTTTTCACTGAAAAAAATAGAAACCTATAGGAGAGGATTTCTACAAGCTTATCCCATTCTCTTAATTATAGCAAACTGATTTTGAGAATATATATTTTGCCTTTTATTCTATTAATGTGGATGAACTATCCTTACTACTTTGTAAGGTCAACTTCTCCATTTGGCTGTTGGATTGCATGAAACTTAGCCTAATCAATTACATTATTTCATGTATCTGTTATGACGCATTTTATTCTCTTTACAGCTCTCCAATCTCTTGTCCCCATTTTCCCTTCCAGCTTTTGTACAACTTCTCTCCTTTTTTGTAGCAAAATTCCTCCTTTGAAGAGATACTCTTGTTTCTCTTCCCGTTTGCATTTGAGCCCACTCCACTGAGGCTTTACCAATATTCTCTGAGTCTATACAAACACTAGATCGCCAACGAATTCTATTTTTACCAAATTCAATGGTCAATCCCATTGTCAATTATATTTGAACAATAAAAAATATTTGATAGTTTTCATATTCATTATCACTTCAAGTCAAACCACCGTTATCTCCCATCTAGATTATTACAAAATCCTGTCAACTGTTCTTGTTCTCACACCCCCCTCCCTTAACTCCCATCTGACTGTCTACTATGCCAAACTATAGCCAGAGGAATTCCATGAAAAGGTAAAATGCACTACCATTACACTTTTTCTTTTTTTATGTTTTAAAATTTGCTTTTTAAAATATTTATTTTTAAAACAATATAATTCCATTTTTTAACTTGACCCAATGATTATAACATTTTCAAATAAATATTTTGTTTATACTTGTATTATTTATTTATTTTAAAATAATCAATTTCTTTCCAGAATATCTATTTTTTCAAGTATTACTAAATGTTAAGTTTTATACCATGAATTTAATATATTATTATGAAATATAATATATCATACAGAACAATGTAAGTATAATAAAACATTAACATAATATATGCAATATATCCTATAATACTATGTTATAGTTTTAAAGTTTTACATTACTTCAATCTTTACGGTATTTTTTTAGTTAAGAGACCTATGTTATACTTGGATATAGCAGTGCATTTTTAAGTGATATTAATTCTTACTTAAAATTAACATAGATATCACATATAAATTTACTTTTGTATCCAAGAATAACCTAGGTCTATAACATTCTATAATAGCCTCCTGAACAGACTAAGACAAGTGAGGCTTATCTTTTTCATATGATCAATTAGAACTATTTTGCTTTGAGCTTTGCTTTTATGAAAAGTTAAGGTAACAGATTCGAAAGAGCTATATAAGGCTTGTGCTTTTATTCTCTTCTGTGTTTTATTTAAGAATGGCAGCTTATCAGACTAATTTTAAGTACAATAGATAAAACATATACAGGAAAGTAAATCCTTTACCTTGTCAAAATACGAAGACATTGGGCAAAATAATTCTAAGTTATTTTTAGAGATTTTTCTGAAGAGTTCCCAATAAAAATCACCGATAAAACATGCACACTGGAGTTTACTGTAGATAAAATATATTTATCAAGTATTTTCTGCCCTACTTACCAAACATGTAATTGATTTCAGTACAGATGTTCTTGGCATTGCCCAAGCTGCAAATTCTTAATTATGTAGGAAAGTTGAGCCTGAAAAGTAAAACAAAGAAACATGTTCAAACTAAATGTCAAATATAAAAGTAAAGCCCATTTTATGGGAAACAACTGGTATTTCTCATTTTATCAAAAAAGGAGTAAAAATTAATCCATAAAACATTTTCCTATAAATATGAAAAAAAACAACACAGAATCATTGCCTTTAATTTTTTTCTTAGCTGTTTAAGTCTGAATCTGACAGATGTGGATTAAATGTATTTATTTCATTTACTAGAAACAAAACCAAAAAGATTCTTTTATTATGCCAGAGATATTCATAACTTTACCATTCCATCACAGTATATCATGATGTTTCTTTTAACTACCATTTGCTTCTTAATACTCTAATGTTTTTCATTTGTAATATGTTGTTGTGGTTTTAAGCTCAATACTTCATAAATTAATTCCCAGTTGTCATAAATACTCTAGACTAGTATTAATAAGATGCAAACTCCTATCAGATATTATTAGGACTATCTTGTGAAAAATTTATGCTTTATGATATTTTACAAACTTATTTATGTCACTTAATGATTCTTGATGGCATCGGAGGATTGCTTCTTTTAAAAGAATTTAAAAATACAATATAAAGCAGAAATATTTTAGTTTTGTGTAGTTATTTTTCAAGGAATGTTTTAAAATGTGCCCAACTTTTACCCCTTAAAATGTACATACTTTTGTTGAAACTGGTTTGGCTCAGTAGATAGAGTGTCAGCCTGCAGACTCAAGGGTCCCCGGTTCGATTCTGGTCAACGGCATGCACATTGGTTGTGGGCACATCCCCAGTAGGGTTTGTGCAGGAGGCAGCTAGTCGATGTTTCTAGCTCTCTATTCCTCTCCCTTCCTCTCTGTAAAAATTCAATAAAATATATTTTAAAAAATAAGCTGTACATACTTTTGAAATAATAATCTCCTTTATTCAGAGGGAAATATGGTATGTGTATGGGTGTGTGTGTGTGTGTGTGTGTGTCCGTGTTTGTATTAGCAAGCTAGAGCAAGCCAGAGAGAGGAAGAGGTTAAGAGAGAGGAAGTAAGGAAAAGAGGGAGAGGGAAAAGGAGTAGGAGAGGGAGAAGAATAGGGAGAGATAGAGAAAGAGAGGGAGAGGAAGAGGAAGAGGGAAAGGAAGAAGAGCAAATGGAGAAATAAAAATCAGAAAAAACTAAAAGGAGAAAAATAAAGGTGAAATGGAAAAATAAAGCATTGTGCCCACTTACTGTTGGTGGGAAAATAAAAACCAAAGCATATTAAACAAATAAACAAAAGGATGTTTCATTGACTCTAATTCATCTGTACAGTTTATTTACACCTCTTGAAGAAGTCAGAATATGTCATCAAATAACACAAACACTGGCCTAATATAACTTCTCATCATGTCTTGAAATTTCAAAATTCCACTGGTATTTCTGTAGACTGAGTCCTTCTAGGGCCCAGCAGCAACAGGTATCCCCCTTGATGTTGATAAAGAAGAATCAATGTGAACAATAAAGGAGATGAATGTAAAAAGAAGGGCAAAATAAGGTTCCAGGTTCTGCTTGCCAATGGTATTGGGCCTCGTTTCCTTCTTCTGGGTCAGTGACCTCAGTGCTTAGACTCTCAACTGAAATGGCCTGAGAGACATTCATTTTCCCCAAACTTTTGAGCCTTACTCAGCAGGCAGCGCTGACCCCAATCCGTGAAGTGTATGGCAATGGAGTCAAGGAAATGGGCAGCCACCAAGGGAATTGTGCTGTACTTTGTCTCTCACCTCATCTGCCATGGAGAGAAATGCCTTTTTAAAATTGAAGAACAGTATTGATTAGTCTAAAAAGCTTTAAATTGGCTTTTAAGATATCATAGTTTTATTCACTGTCAGATGTCAGCAATGTGACCTTATAAAATATTTGAGGTTTTTGGCAAAAGCATTCAAGGTTTTGTGCATCTGCTTTAAAACACATCCCAGAAGGATATCTCACAGGTAATACAAATCTTAAAAATGTTAAATTTTCAATAAATCAGAAAATCACTTAACTTTGTTTAAGTAAAACAATAACTGTCCCTTCCTGAAGTAAAACATAGATGAAGTATTGAAATGCTGCCACTTAATCATTTGAGTTGCTTGAGTCATTTTCTCAACTTTTTTCAGACTTACGTTCGCAAACACCAGCCAGGCTATGCATGTGGCATATGGTTTTGGTTCTTATGATGGCTAAGCTATGGGTATTTTGGTCTTATAGGTAGAGATTTATACTCAGAATATGAATTACGTAACTTTACATGATATAATTTAACTCTATATTTAGTATTAAACAACACTTTCATGTAAGAAAGCAATCTTTTAAAAATAAATCACTATTTTTATGTTAAGCAACTACCCCAAATTATGAAAAAAAGAGAATTGAAAATGGAGAAACTAGAACATACTATAAAGAAATTATGAGCTTCCAAAGATGAATGTTCAAGCAGCAGTATGGCAAAACTAGAATCTTTTTTTTTTTTAATCCTGATGGTATGCTTTTATTGATTTTAGAGAGAAGAGGGGAACGATGGGGAGAAACATCAATGTGAGAGAGAAACATCAACTGGTTGCCACTCATATGTGTGTCCCTACTGAGAATCAAACCTGCAACCTAGGTATATACCCTGGCTGGGAATCCTTTCAGTGTACAGGACCGCATTATACCAACTGAGCCACTAGACAGGGAAAAAGCAGAATATTTTTCTCAGCTCCATCTCATTGCACCAGTCTTCAGAGCCCCTCCTACATACTAATGGCTGAAATCATAGTTGGAACAGGCAGGAATAGGCATTAGCATCAGGCAGTTCTCTAGCCATGGACCCAGGTCATCTGCCAGCACTCTCAACTTTTTACGGACAGTTTGGTTAGCAAGACCTGAAATGTGTTTGATGAGGCCCAAGATGCGCCTTTTTTAGCAGTGAGTAAGTCTGACTTTATGAAATATATTCAAAGAAAAATAAACACAAAAAGAATGTTGTATCCTGGTGCTTAATGTTGCACTGGGAAAATAGGCTGGGCAGACGGATGCAGAACAGAGCCCCAAGTAAAAATGTTTTCCACCAAGTAAAAAGTGTCGCTTCCATGTGTTTCTTAGTATCTGCTCTTCAGAAAGTTTGAGAGTGGAAAAGAATTTACAAAAAGACCAAACTGGATGACAGGAGGCAGTAATAGCAAAACATAGCAGCTGGGAGCTGTAATCAAGACAAAAAGTCTTACATTTGGAAACTGGACTTAAATAAACGTAGTGGGATCAGAGATGATATAAAACCAGGATGTTCTTGGAGATGAGACTACCATGCAATTATTTTAAAGAAAAATTAAAAAGAGTGGGAATCTTATTTATCAAGTGTACGCACCATTAAGAGAAATAGTCAGTTAAAAATGAACCATAACTCTCTAAAACACATTTAATTATTTTATCAATTGCCTGAGTTAACTTTTGAAAATTCATGTATTGTACCATGTTTTGTCTTTTATTTCAAGATAAAGGTTTCTAACAAATGAGTCCAATGTCTTTAACATGTTTATGTATTTTTCACAAAACTCTAGTTCTGAGAATTTATCTTAAAGTTCCTCACAAAATATTAAAGATATTCTTCACAACATTGTTTATGACATTCATTCATTCAACAAAATTTTTGGAGAACTTTTAATGGACTAGAAAATGTGTCTGCTGTTTAGGAAAAAAAAATTGAAATGTCATCAAAAGGAAATTATTAATGACTAGAGGCCTAGTGTACAGATTCATGCAGGGGTGGGATCCCTTGGCCTGGCCTGCAGGGATCAGGCCAAAACCAGCTCTGTGACATCCCCCGAGGAGTCCCAAATTGGGAGAGGGTAGTTCTCAGGTGATGCACCCCAGAATCAGGCTCCCATACACTGATACAATTATTATAATAAAAATACAGGCTATTTCTGTGACTTTTAAAGGCCATTTGTGTTATGCTGTTCTGCAGGTAATCCTTAAGCCCCATTCCTGACACGAAGCAAATCCTGATCTGCTTTCTGTTACTATAGATCAGTTTTGCCTTCTAGAATTTCATATAAATAGAATCGTACATCTTCTGTACATGGTTATTTCACTCAATTAAATGTTATGAGAGCTGTCCATGGTGTTTCATCTGTCAATATGGATGCCACTATACGTACTATAGACTGGCTAAAAATAAAAAGATTTATGATATCAAGTGTTGGTAAAGAAGCAGGGGAACTCAAAACCTCACGCATTTCCAGTGGGACTATAACATGGTTTAGCAACTTTAAAAAACAATTTGGAGCTTTTATAAAGTTACACAAACACCATATTACTCAGCAATTCTCCCCCCTCCAGTTATTCATTCAAGAGAAAGAAAACACATGTTCACAAAACAACATGTAAACAAACGATCATGGCAGCTGAATTAAAAACATAACAATTATAACTGTCATGACTGGAAACAATCCAAATGTCTATTAACAGGTGAAGGGATAAACAACTTACGACATACACATATAATGGAATACTACTTTGTAATGAAAAAATCAACTTGTCTTTTTGTCAAGCATAATTTTTAAAAGTTTGTTTAATAAAATATGTATCCTGGTAAAAGGTTTTAACAATGGCAAAATCTTATAGATTCATTATAATAATATACATACTGCTACTCAATAAGAAATATTTTTTAAAAGCCTTATTCAAGTAAGCTTCAATCAAGGTTTAAATTAATACATAGTTATGAATTCTAGCACATTTGTCGATTATTAATTTTTAAGAGGAATAAAACTTTTTATAACATTTGTTATATATTTAAGGGAAGCTATTAAACTTGTTGCACCAATTAAGAACATGAAGTGAGCAGTTATTAAACAAAAACATACATTTTAAATTAAGTCCCAAATTCCTACAGTATAGTCTTCTGACAACTTCTAAAGAAAACCTTATTTTCCTTCAATTGAGAAACTCCAACACTCAGAAATGAAATTGTTTAATTTTTCCTTCATTTAAAAATCAAGTGCTGA